TGTCATTTGCAACCCCAAGTTGGGTCATGTTTTACTAAATCCCAGTCCCTTTCTTATCTTAAATTCCAGCCTCATTCTCTCTCTCTCTCTCTCAGCTCTATCCCCCACCCCTCTTCACTAGTTTCCTGATTTCCTTTCATTTCCTACTGCCTTTCCCCTGTGACTTTCTGCTGCCTGTCTCTGCTTTCCCGCTGCCCCTGCCACCTTTCAATCTCTCTTGCTCCTTTTCCTGTGATTTTCTGCTGTTTTCAGGCTTCCCCCGCACCTTCTGTAGTCACCGCCCTCCCCCCCTCCCGCAGCTTCCTAGCTCCTCGTGGCAGTCCTGCAGTTTTCTTCAGCAGCTGGAGCCTTTCTCCAGCTCCCAGCACCTACTGCTGCTCCCTGCAGCTTCTCTAGCTGCTCCGGAGCCATCCTCTGGCTCCCCACACCCAGAGCCCCTCTTTAATATCCACACTTTCCCTTAGTCCCATTTTCCCTTTCCCCACCTACCTTTTCAGCTCCCTCATAGCTCTGGCTCCAGTCCTAGCCTATCAATTAACCTAAAGTTACTCCCAAGCCTCAGTTCTTCAGCCCAGGCCCCTGTAGTCTACTGGTTCTAATCCTGGTCCTGATAACTTTAACTCCCTACACTTCTGTTTTCTTATCTTAACCTTTCCCCAGGTATCCCAAGTACACCAAGCACATACATACATACACATTACAACACCCAACTTAGGAACTCACCTGTGTGTATGTGTAGGTGGGAGGTATGTATGTAAATTAGTGAATACACATATATATACACACATCATTGTGTGTGTTTGTGTGGTATATGAATTAGTAATCCACGTATGTGTATTGGATGTGCAGGTGTTGGTAACTAGTAACTGATTCTGTCTAAATTTGGTGTGTGTAGCACGTATGGACTTAAACTGGTGATAGGTGTGCATGAATCTAAACTAGTTATTTTGAATGTGTGTGTATCTGAGTTGCTAGTGTGAGAGTGTGAGTGTGTGTGTGTGGGTATGTGTGTGTGTGTATATATATCTATATATATATCTATCTATATATGGCATTGTGTGTATGATATACAAATTAGTTATCTGTGTCTAACTTCTGGGGTGTATAGTGTATGTGCTTGAATTTGTGATAGGTATACATGTGCTTAGGTTGGTTTGGATGTGTATGTGCCTGAGCTAGTAGTGTGCATGTGTATGCACCTAATTGATTTGTGTGTTTGTATATGTGCAACTGTACACCACGCCCTCCTGTCTAACAGCGCAATATTGAGGTCCTGAGCATTGGTCTGACTCCTCAGGGCAACAGTCATTACTGCACAAACATTTAGTATGTGTATAAACAAGCACTAAATCGCTGTGTGGTAACCGGAGTTACTGCACAGTAGTGTCATCAAATGGCTTTTTGATGAATGACTGCACAGTAGCTTATGGGTTTGTGGGAGAAAGTTGGTGTGTGGATATGTGGGGTGTGGGTGGGTAAGGGGCTTGTGGGGGATGTGTGTTGGTGGGAGGATGGCTGGGGTGTGTGATGGGGTGTGAGTCTGGGAGCCTGCATGTATCACAGTGCAAGGGGGGGTGCATGTGTATGGTAGGGTGTGCGTGTGGGACTTGCCCTATGAATACACACACATACACACACTTTCTCTCCCTCCTTCACTGCACGTACATGCGCACACACACACACACACACACACACACACACACACACACACACAGAGTCTCTTCCTGTCTCCCTCATTGCATACACAC